GCCGGTACACAAGTGCCTGTATCCCTGCCCTCTGCCTTCCTCTCTATTTAGGGTAAGCTGATTATTTTTCTTAAGCACTGTATTGAGGTTCTAGGTTTCATTCCTTCTTGCTTAAGAACATGGTTGAAGGAATGTCGCTCTGCCCACCCTTCATTAGCACCTTTGCTCTCTTCATTAACTAATTCCCATTAATGGACAAATAGATTAGGTTGGAAAACCTAATCTAACTCTTATTTGATGCCACGTTCCAACTTCCTGTACACTTTTCTGTTGTTTCTTAGATAAACAAGGTGGAGGAAATCTCGTCATTTTCTTACAGCTAAGAACTTTCTGTTGAGGTTTGGTTTTTAATTGTGTCCTGGAGCCTACTAGCTCAGTTGACGGGCTGGGAGCCATGTAGTTGGTAAGGATAAACTAAGCAGGGAAATGGCACACTCTGGAAGACGCTCTCCCATCCATGGCTGCAACTTTTTCCGTAAGCAGTGCTGACTCACCTTCGTAAAGGCAAAGGGGACTATTTCCCCTGAAACGGTCAGTAGGCTTTGAGTTGCCTATTTAATATGTCATCTAAATATCCTTGAGTCACTATTTCAAATCTTAGGCTTCCTCTTTCTTCAGTGAGCTGCCTAACATAAATAATTCAACTTTGTGAGCTTTTAACAACAAACAGGATCAAACTCTTACACTGACTTTTGTTCCAAAGTCACTGCAACTAAAACAATAGAAGATGTTCTATAAAGTTTAATGTTCATGGCTATTTCCTTGAGCCCTATATTTTAAATGCTGACTTCTGGTTTTCTGTCTGTAAATTCTTATCCCATTCTGCAGTCTTTCTACTGACCAGTAACGGACTGCTTTAGTAGTTAACTTTAACCACAAAAGGACTTGTCTTAGATTGATCTCTGGTACAAAAACAAACAAGCAAACCTTGTCTTTACTTGATGTCTTCCATTAGTTCTACCTTCTGACAGTAAGCAGCTTTTTACTCTTTAGATAAAAATAATTCAATTCCCATGTTCCTGAAAGTCTATTTAATTTAATCAGTGTTGTGAGCTACACCAAAATATATCACGCCAAATAATGTTCTTGAAATTTTCTCACATTGTAACTTCTTGTTTAATGCTGGTTCTTTTAATTTAATTTCTAAAAATTTAATCTCCTATTTTATAATCTGCATTTTGAGGGAGAAAAGTGTCCCTATGATTTTTAAAATGCAGAAAGTAGAAATTTCCTCTACTATCTATACTCTTATAAGCACTAAATATGGCTTAAATAAATCATTACTTGCATGTAATATTTTGAGAGGTACACACGCCTTAAAAATATCAGTTGAAAAACTAATATCCATACAAAACTATCCGAGAACATGTGGAGATAAGTCAAATACAAGACTAAGGTGAGTACTTCTAGAAGTTATATAGCTGCATTTACTATTAATAATGGTTAATTTGAAAGGAGTCACATAGGAATATGTGACAACACTTTCACGGAAAAATGTGTGGTCAACCACCAATATGAATCTAAATTAGGAAAAAGCAGGACATCAATGGATGCATCCAACTGAAGACAACTAATGCTACAATTATTACCTCATTCATCAGGTGCAGAATGCTGAATGACTCTCTCTTTGCAGGAGGTCATTTTCAGTGATTTCAAGTTAACACTAATCTTCATTTTCAATCAGATATACTTTAAACAAAGCAGAAAGAATATTTTAACCCAAATAATAACCCAAATAATTTCTCTCTGCATCTATATTATGTGAGCATAAACATTAACATTTGTATTTTTGCATCTATGTTTATTTATGTCAGTTCTTAAAATGGAGACAAGATCTACTCACTCTATCAAATCATATGTGGAATCCTGTGAGGCCAGGATTGTACTTGTACTAGTTTCTTTTATACCCTGTAACATGGAAGCTGTTCTCTAAAATCTGAGTAGAATAACACACAGTGAGAGAATGATGACAACTTACTGTAGATAATGATGCACTATGTAATAAAAAAAGAATTTGTTACCTGCTGTTCCTGATGGAATGGGAAAGCTACAACTGCATTTCTACATAAGAAGCAAGTGGGGCGGAGCAGTATTTCAAAGCCAGAGATATGCTACACACATGTGTTGTTTGGAGACAGTGGTCTAGTGACCTGGTTAACACTTTGGATCTCATGACAAGGCACCCTGGATAGGAACTGCAAATCAATGTGTCTGTTTTTTAAACTAAAATAGCTGCAGCTTTGCCTAACAGAACGCTGCCTGGTAAGAAAATAATTTGTGCAGAAGCTGGGAAGATGGCAGATCAACAAGCAGCAAAGTAAAGAGCCTCTCTGAGAGAAACAGCTCAGATGATGGAATAGAACATCCTGGAGAAGTCCAGATGGAAGGAGATGGATACTCTCAGCCCAGGAAGAAACTAAAGAGAAAAAAAAAAGAAAGAAAGGAAAAACAAGAAAAGAAAAATGTGGACAAAAGGCTATAACCAGAAGTGTTCTCACTAGAGCTGGTCCCACTGTGTACAAAACACCACTGGAATCCAAAGACACGAGGTCACAGTGAAGTTGGGGGTTGGTGAGCCTGAAGGCCTCAACAGGAGGATGTGATTATGAAGGAGTGGAGAACAGGAGTGGCTTAGAGATCTACAGGAGCTCATGGTAAATGTGGGGAACTCAGTCCTCCTGCAGGAGTGTGTGACTGGCTGGGTGACATTTTGGAGTTAGGCAGGATAAGCCCAGAACCAAAACTGCAACAGCTTCAGTCAGCCACTCCCGGCACAGTGCAGATTGGTGAGAATTGCTTGGACTGAGTCCCGACCCTATGCGTGATCCAGTAGCCAAGGCTGAGGTCTCCCTAAAGCTCTCCCTAACAAGGCTCATCCATGCAGCACACACTAATGTGGTGAAAACTGCCAGTGGTTGCCCAGCTCAGAAAGGAGGGGCTACCCTGCCGCACCCATGGTTGTACTTCAGTGGTCATCAGCAGGCTGGGGAGGGTAGCAACCCCTAGCCAGCACCACTTCAGAGTAATCATAGCCAATATAGGAAGTGTCAGGACCTTCACTATCCAGTTGTCTGTAAGAAACAAAACCATGTCAAGAGGAAGAAACAAAAGGAAGTCTCTAGCCTCCAACCCAAACAGTGCCAGCACAGGAGAGGTAAACAAAGAAGAGGTCAGGGGTTGTACACTTGCAGTTTTGGAAAAAGCAACTTCTGACATAAAGAGTTTTCTTTGTGACATTATAAAAGAACTAAAAACAGAAATACTATTACAAGTAAAGGAAGACATAAGAAAAATAATAAAATAAATGCTAAGTACCTCTCAAGAAGACACAGATGGAAGAATGGAGGAGCATAGAAAAAGGAGAGAAACCTTTGATGAAGCATATACAAAATATAGAATACATGATACAGATTCAAAGAGATTGTTAGGAAATTAAAAACTCCATTGAAAGCTGGCAAAATTGCTTGAAAGCAAGATCCCAGAAATTCAACACAAGAACAGAATATTAAAAGCTTTCAGAGAAAAGAAACAGATTGCCTATAAAGGAAAACCCATCAGAATCATGACAGACTTCTTAACACAAACCATCAAGTCAAGAAGAACTTGAAGTATTCCAAGCCCTGAAAGAAAATAACCTCCAACCCAGATTGATGTACCCTACAAAACTATCTCTCAAAATTAATAGAGAAACAATATACTTCCATGACAAAGAGGAACTGGAGGAGTTTGTGACCACCAATCCAAACCTACAAAAAATATTGAAGGACATTTTAGACAGAAAGAAAAAAAAGACCATGATTTTAACAACAGTGACAGAGGGGGCTCACCAAATGGGGCAGACAGTGCAATGAAGGGAAAATTAGACAACCAATGGCAGAAAAGTAGCATGGCAGAGATGAGACAGAAAAGGTTGGCCATAATCGCTAACAGGGAACCAGACAGGGAACCAGAAAAAAGTGAGGGTAGCTCGCCCATATCTGCAGATTGATTGGAAAGGTATAACACTTTTGTACAATAGAGAACTACTCAGCTATAAGGAAGGAAAACCTTTAGGCTCTTGTAGGTAAGTGGATACAACTTGAGGCCAATCTCAGGGGTAAAAACGTTCAGAACCACTTAGGTAAATAGTGGATTGCCTCTCTAATCTAAATACTAAAGGAGTTAGTGGGATACCAAATATATAATGTACTGTGGGAAAGTGAAAGGGGAGGAATTGTCTAAATAGGGGAGGCAGAGAACATCATTAATAGTGTATCATGATTTTAAACCATATGGCTTTCATCGCTCTGTTTAGTTTGATTATATTTCTCCAGTTTGTCTATTTGTACTAGATTTGAGGGCACAGGCAGATGTTCCAAAGGTAGCAGGATGTACTATGGTTACCATTTTTAATTTCCAATAAGCTTAATCTGAAATTCTGTGTTGCTTTCACTGCCTTGTTTTGACTGATTTGATCTGAATTTGTTTTGTTTGATCACTGTCTTGACTGATTTTATTTGAATTTGTTATGTTTGATAGTATTGAGTCTGAGAGTATAGGTAACTATTATGAAGACAGTAAGATTCACTAGGATACCTGTTCTGGTTTGACTATTACTTGCTTTTGAAGTCCTATCATGTCTCCAATACTTTTTTTTTTATTACTTTGTTCTATACTGCTATGTTCAATTTTACTGTGCCTGATGATATGGGCAATTCTATTGAAGATAACAATAGACATCATGGTGACAATTGTAGATCACCTTGTATTAGGGTTTTAAATCATGTACTGTTTTCATCCTTTTGTTTTGAATGACCCTCTTCTTTCCTTCTCATTTGGTTCTATGTTTTTCAAAATAAAATTTAAAAAAAAGAAATTAATTTGCACTTGTACTGATGGACATATAGACTTGCTGAAAAAGGTAGCTCTTACTAGAAGAAAGAAATGCATTAAAGTAATCTAACTTTACTAATAAGAACAAAGAGATAAACTGAAAAATAATGACAGTGTGAACAACTTGACAAAAGTGAAGAATTTTAATACAGAAATAGAGGTAGCACAAAGCACACATCCTCCCTGTAGGTTGTGGGAAATGTACAAGAGAAATCAATGAACAAAAGCTGGGTAGTGTAACATCCAAACAATCAGTCGGTCATTTCACTCAATCAATTAAATAAATAAGTCATTTGTTGCAGCCAATTTTAACAGTGAAATCAATAACTATTTGACTGAATTTTTTATTTTTAAATGTTATATTTTAAGAAATTGATGAATCAGAAAAATGTCACACAAGAAGAGAATTAACATAAGCTGGTAAAAATAACCAATATTCACTAACTAGCAAACCTTTCCATCCTAGTGGAAAACAAAGAATTCTAAACTTTTTGTTTATTAAAAAATTCTGAATAAGCACATCTAGTTTAACAAATTAATTATAGCTAGTGTCAAGCAAGACAACAAGAAAAACTATATCAAACATGTTACTCATTTTAGAATGATTTGTCGATATAATTTAGTCCTTTCTTCACTTAAAATTTAAAGACCCTAGCTGTGCTAAAGCCATATAAGATAGTAATTTTCATGTACAGCTTTTATCCTATCCAGAGGAAATTCTTCGTTAAAATTTTTTCATCTTACATAGAAAAATAATGGTAAGAGATTGCTGTACCTCCCTATCTGTAACAGAAGGAAGAAACACAAAAAATGATAATGATATGTTCAGTGGGCAGTGTAGACCTTCTAACGCATAACTTTTGCAGAGAAGAACTGTTTGTGCTTATGTGCAATCCTTTTGTTTTAAAGAAAAATAAGCATCATTTAAAGAAAAATACATTCCTGCTATGCAATCCCATCTATACATTCGGCAGGATAGTGTTTTGCTAACTTTAATATTCATGCAAGGACTGGGTTAGGATCTGATATGAGACTTAGTCTCAAGCAATCACAAAGCTATTGGTCTATCACAATACTTTAAAGGTAAGATTCTGATGTAAATTGAGTTAAATATTAAGGCTTAGTAGTCATGTCTGAGTGTCACTTAGTGAAACCTCAGTTTGTAGGATGAGAAACAAAGTCTCAGAGAAATATGACATACTTACAACTCCTGACTTGCTGACTTGATATTAAAAGGTAACACTTCTAATTCCTAGTCACGTGTTCTTTCCAATAGACTCTGAAGAGAATCCATGTAGAAAGAAAGCCTTAATCTACACATGACTGTGATCCTCATCTGTGACTTTTCAGTTTAAATGCCACAATACGTAGGTTTATTTTTTAATCTCCACACTGATTTCCACAGTGGTTGCACCAGTCTACATTCCCACCAGCAGTGGAGAAGTAGTCCTTTGCCCCCACAGCCCCACAAACATTTAGTATCAGTTAATCATGGCAGCCATTGTTTTCGGAGTGAGATGGAATCTCAGTGTTGTTTTAATTTGCATTTCTCAAATGACCAGAGATGTTGAGAATGTCTTCATGTATTTATTTGCCATTTGTACTCTCTCTTCATTGAGGCACAATGCCCAGTCGCCATGACTTAGAGGAGGAGAAGTTCCTTTTGGCTCATGTTAGTCTATCATCAGCTGGCTCCAAAGCAGGATGTCACATCAGGGTGGGAATGGCAGAGGAAAAGTGGCTCATGACCTAGCAATCTGAAAGCAGAAAGAAGGAAGTGAGACACCAATAGGGAGAGAGACACAGCCCCAGTGACCAGCCTCCTCGGAGCAGGATTCTCTTCCCAATGTAATGATGAGGTGTAAACTCATCAATGCACTGATCTCCTCATGAGTATCACGCACTCATGAACCAATCACCTTCCTATAGCCCATCTAATAAGCCAATGAGGCTTTAGGGAAAATCTAGATATGAATCATAAAGAAAAGGTATTAGCTTGAACCCAAAATTTCTGAAACCCCAAAAGCCATGAACTGAGTTATTTAAAACAACATCATGTAAAGCCTGGGAAAATAGTTCAGAAATGTTTGATATCAGAGCATTTTTGGCAACATTCTGAGTTCTAAAGAGTTGTTTCTATGTTTTATTTTCTGACTTTGTAACAGCACTAACTGTCATCTCAGATTGTTATTAGTACTGATTACAAAGTTATATAAAAAGAAGAATTCACACAGTACTCAGTGCATAGTTGTCACTCAAAAGGCAATAGCCCACTTAATTTAATGGAAATAATAATTGGACACAATTGATCGAGTGGATTATTGATATTAAAGAGATATATATTTAATATAATAGTTTCCTAATTCGTTTTCAATTTTAGTTTATTTGTGTATGTAGTATGCATACATTTTGCATGTATATTACATTACATTTAAAATCCATGTACATACAATGCAACTTAAAACCTTAAGAAACAAACTTTATTAATCCTCTCGGTATACTCTGTTTCATTCTATAATAGTTTAATTTTCATCTAAATTTTAAATCTATACTCCAACAAAGTGACTGTGTAAGTGCTAATAATTTGGAAAATTCAGCTTAAAAAATTTAACATCCACAGAAAAATTATTTTACTGAAATACAGAAGAAAACTATCTGTGTTTATTGCATGAGCCCAGCAATGACCATGTTGACACTGTTTTCCTCTGTACCCACTGACCCAACACTGTCATTAGAAAATTCAGCAATGTGACTTGTGTGTGGAAATTCTTTTTGAAAAACTAAATAGTGTCTTATTTAGAGATTTGCATAGACCAGCATGTGTCTATAAAAGGTACTCTTACTAGACATGCATATTCTGATTGGCACAATAGTTAGTAGAAAAAAATCTTTTGAAAATAGAGTCCTGTATATTTTGAAAATGAGAAATCATTCCATGTGCTGTAGCATACATAAACACATTCAGATTTCTAAATTTATGTTATAGTTCCCTAAATTCTATCACTGGAAGGCAAAATTGTATGCAATTCTCCTATATCAAAGCCAATTAAATTACTATTTCCTTCTACTATAGGATTCTTTGATAGATTGACAACTAATGTTTATTCATTTTAAAACTGTACTAAGTTTCCAGATAGTACACTAAGAAAATAAATTAAAACAACTGTATCCTAAATAAGCATTTACTTTCTGTAACTAACACCATACATATCCTTAAAAAAAAACCAACAACAAAATATAAATTGAAGGCAAAGTATTCAAATTTTCAGAGAAAAATCTATTAAATAAATAAATGCATTTAAGAAGTCTCCAATTTAGGATATCTAAATTGATTTATAATCTCTAATTTCTCATGCTGTTCGGTGGGGCAGAATGTATAAATCTACAAAACTTGCTCAGCATTTATAATTGTGTGGCTGTGTGATGCTGAATACAAACTCTTGCACTGCTACACAAATGGGTGGAAAGAAAAGCAGTGTGAAAATACATAAGTACATATAATAAGTATGTACTAATGTACAACTTCATAAGAGTATGTATCAACCTTATGCTCACATCCTTAACTATGGTTCCCTGGAACACTCCTATTAAGTATTTCTGTTAAACATTTCATGGAATTTCCATGCCTCAAAAAGGAACAGTGGAAATGCATCCAAGAATATAATTGACTAACTTCAAGTGGTTAAAAAAAAATAATAATAATAACAAAAGTGGAAAAAAACCACTAAATTTCTAGTGAATGTGACCATTGGAGATTATCCTAATCTTATGATGGGTATGAGTTTTCACACTGCAAAAATTTGAATGAGATCAGTAGTAGTTTTTCTACTGTGTTTATCAGCAGCAGCCATAGAGTTAGCCTTTTATGTAAGCATCAGAATAGAATATCTGAATAAAGAGAATTTTAACCTAGGAATCCTCATTGTCAAGCTCATTTCAGCATAAATGTCAAAATATTAGACAAAATGTTATCCTCAAAAGGAGTTTCAGAGTTGATTTACACTACCCAAGGTACACTTCTTTTTCTTACAGTTGATTCATTGTTACACTTACAAATACATCCCAGACAAAATTGTTTTGGGCAACTCATTCTAGCACTGCAAAATATTTCTAGACTTCTCTGCAATTTTAATCCAAAGATAAATATTTGCAAAAATAATGCATTGATTATGAGGAACTTATATTGTATTAGAATTATAAGTACAAAATATTATCAGTGCAGAAATAATAGGTTTTCCTAATCTCTTATTTTTTTCCTGGAAAAATTATGCTACTGATCAGGTGATTTAATGATTACATCTTGCAACTAATGCATTTGCCATTTGTCTTCTGGTGTTTACAGTTTGATTCAGGACTCAAATAAAGTATGTGCACATAATCCTCAGTGGTAGTTATGAATAACATACGTTATCATGTATTTTAAGTTAAAAATCTCAGCTCCCCGCAAAGGCAGTATAGTGCCTTTCTGGTGAAATTGCTTAATTAAGAGATTTTTTTTTTGTGAGACCTGGGCCTCTTCTCTGACTCCTGCCATCTTCGCAGACCACCTCACAAGACTGGGAAACTCCAGCCAGCGGCATGCATGGGGCCAGTCTAGACTGATGCCCCTTCTGCAACTCCCACCATCTCCACAGACCACCTCATGGAACCAGGAAACTCCAGACAGAGGTGTGCGCAGGGTCAGGGCTAGACCTGGGCCCCACCTGTGACTCCTATCGTCTCCGCAGATGATATTGCAGGCCCAGGAAGCTCCAACCAGAGCTCCTACCCTTTCTCCCTGAACCTTGGACTACAGCAGATTAACTGCTAGCTTGAGGGGAGATTCAGTTGACTGCCTTACCCAAGTGGAAGATCTCAGCAGGCTCAAGTCAGTGTGGTGAGTATGCTCCTAAAATAGAGGTGTACCGTGGGTAAGTAAGTAAAGCTCCCCCTTACTATCTATAAGACCTTGGTTGAGTCTGACAAGAGTTTGGGTGAATCCTTCCTGCACAGACAAAACATTAGGCAGAGTGAGGAGTGTGCCAAAAAGGACTCTCTCAACTTGGAGAAAATCAAACGGGCTTACGAGACACACAAGCACACAATAGGGACACAGTAGGGCCTCAGCTGACACAAATACAATAGACAGGGAGATTTGATGACCTGGAATAACCTGAAGATAAGGCAATAACAAGAACCAAAAGTTGACCTACATCAATACTACTAGGCTTGGTAGCCCAGGAAGAATATAGAACTCATTCAACAGACCCTGCAGTGGGGAGTCAGGTGACTGGCCCACCTATTCATTGTGGGACCCAGCAATTGGATAAATATCAACCTTACATTAGGACCCCAAGATACACACTACCAACAGTTGATACTAGTGGAATTGAAGGACAACATATTAACTCGAAAGGGGAAAATGGCACAATGAAAAAGCAAAATGCAATCTCAAACATCTAGTCCACCAGGAGCAAGTACAGGAGACCTTGAAACAGAGGACTTCAAAAGTAACACATCAGAAACCTCTGAGAAGATAGCAAGTGAAATAAAAAAAAAAAACAACTCCATGAAGCCATAAAGGAAATCAAATTAGAAGTACTCTCCCTTGTAAAGACAAAAATAACAACCTTAGTAAAGGAGTTGCTGAGCACAGCTAAAGAAGAAATAGAGAAAAAGTACAGGTGAATGGGAAACTGATTGAAACCTTGAGTGAACAATGTAGAAAATAAGCAGAATTCATGAAACAAACTCAAAGAGATATCCAAAAAACAAAATATTCTATTCAAAGCTGGCAAAACCACTTAAATGAAGCTGAGGATAGGATTTCACACTTTGAGGACAGGATTGCAATTAGTGATCATGAAAGGATAGAACATTTAAAAATAACAAAGCAGCATGAAGTGACAATCCAGCAGCCTCAAGATGATGCCAAGTGAAAAAATATAAAATTAATAGGCATAAGTGAAGATGCAGGAAACAATACAAATGACAGAACTAAGCTATCAACAGAACTAATATCAGAAAATTTCCCAAATATAAGGAAAAAAATTGATGTGAAGATAAATGAGGCATATAGATCACCAAGCAGTCACAACGAACATAAATCTACACCCAGACATATAATAATTAGTCTCATACATACAGCATAAAAACAGAATACTGAAAGCTGTTAGAGAAAAGACACAACTCACCTAACAAGGAAAGCCCATTAGAATCACAGCAGACTTTTCAGCACAAACCCTCAAGTCAAGACGAGTTTGGAGTGAGGTATTTTAAGCCCTGAAAGAAAACATCTTTCAACCCAGACTGATGTACCCAGAAAAACTTTCATTCAAATTTAATGGAGAAAAAAGGTACTTCAATGACAAAGAACAACTGAAGAAATTCACATTCACCAAGTCAACCCTAGAAAGAATATTGAAAGACATACTAGATAGAGATAAAAGCAACCACAATCCCCAAAACAACAACAGAAAGAAACCACCAGGTAGGACAAGCAATTAAATAAGGGGGAAAAGCAGAAAGCAAACAACTGGAACATAGCATGGCAAAGTCAAACCAGTACATATCAGTGATATTCATAAATGTAAATTGCCTCAATTCATCTATCAAAAGAAACAGGTTGACAGAATGGATCAAGAAACATGATCCCACAGTATGCTATATACAAGAAACACATGTGACCTAAAAGGAAACTCATAGATTAAAAGTCAAAGGATGGAAAACTGTATTCCATGCAACAGGAACCCAGAAAAAAGCAGGAGTAACTGTTCTA